GTGAGAGAGAGAGAGAGAGAGAGAGAGAGAGAGAGAGAGACTGTGTTAGAGAGAGAGAGAGAGAGACTCGACAAGGACGGCGACGGCGATGGCGGCACACGCGGCGTAGGAGACGCTCCGTCCTCGGCGCAGGACACGTGGCGCGTCGCTCACAGGCGTCCGTACGTACGGAAGCACCGTACGTACGCCCGTACGTACGGAGGCGTGGCCGTCCGTACGGCCCGTACGCCTAAGGCTTCGGAGGGTCCAGGGCGCGTTCAGGGCAGCAGGGGGGGGGCGTGGTTTGGGCCTTGTCCATGTTGGGGCCGCTTCTAGGGTGTGAACGATGGCACCCTGAAAAGGGAGGGGAGAGCAGCAGTTTGTCCCAGTCAGTAAGGACAAACAGAGGCAGGTGGAGTTCAAGTTCTGCGAATTAAAGTGGATAACGAAGGGGCAAACACTGTCGGACTCCAATGGGAATTTTCTCATGGAGTGCAAGTTGTGCGGCCCGGGTTTTCAGGGCAGTCTATCGAAGGCCGCACAACACTTCACAATAAAGAACAACTGCGCTAAAGTCACCGCGGAGCAGCTCGCGGGGATCTGGAACAACACAAACTACCCGTTCGATCAGAGCCACCATCGGAAGATCATCGACTTCCTGAGGTCTCGTGGGTTTCGAGACAATAGAAATACTTCAAGGAGGGAGCAGGCGGGGGAGGAGTATGACCACAGCGAGCAGGAGAAGAGGGAGGCCGAGGGGGGAGGTGATGATAGTGACAGTGATTCACAGGACATGGACGTGCGGCGAGAGGCGGAGCGCGCCAGGGGAAAGATGAGGGGGGACAAGGCCGTTGCCGAGGACAGCACCCCGGACGAGCACGACGACGACGACGATGACAACGACGATCAGGGTGCAGACCTTGGGGCATCTTTTGATGGGGGTCTGATGGCCGCTGGCCGTCGAGGCCAAGAGGGGGCTGCCAAAGCGATGAAGGACGCCGTGCAATCGAAGAAGAGAAAGAGGAAGGCAACGACACCAGCTCCTCCTCTGCCGAAGAAGGGCAAAGTCCTTCGACAGACTTCCATGATAGAGACCTTCGATCCGGCGTGGCAACGAGATTTTACGAACGAGTTCCTGCAGTGGTGGTACGTGAGCGGGATTCCATTCGAGGCGGCGAGGAGGCCGAAGTACCAGCGAGTGAGGAAGCGGTTGCTCGAGTGTCCGCCGTATACACATCCCGTGTTGCCCACGCACTGTCTCATTTCCGGCGACGGTATTCCACAGCAGCAGCGAGTTGTGGCGGAGATGATGGCGGCCGTCCGCAAGGACATTGCGGCGACGGGAGCGACGATCCTCACGAATGGTCGCAAGTCCATCACTAGCGACCAGATCGTCAACTTCCTTGCCGCTGGGCCCACGGGAGCCTACCTTTTCAGGACTATGCAGCGCGACGGTGCTGTCCAGGAGACAGCCAAGGTGGTGGTGGAGCGATGGAAGGACGTGTTCGACAACTTTGGTGTCGAAAATGTCAACGCCATTTGCACGGATTCTGCGTCCGTGTATGTGGCTGCATCCAAGCTCCTGGCGAAGGAGGAGGTCAAGTACAGTCGCATTACTTGGCTTCCGTGCGCGGTGCATGTCTGCAACTTGTTGTTGTCCGACATTGCGAAGGACGGCACCCCCGGGAAGCTTGGGAAGAGGGAGGACACCATCATCAGGGCTCGAGCAGTCGTGCGGTTCATCAGAGAGCACGGGGCGGCTCTCAGCCTTTACCGACGGTTCTCTGCCGCCCACCCCTCTTCCACTTCCGCAGTTGCGGCCAGTTCCAGCGCTGCGCCACCCTCGTCTCAGCAGCAACAGAGAGCTTGTGTACCCCGCACAGACGAGGTTTGCTTTCCACTACTTGATGTTGGAGATGTTGTTGGATCGTCGCCGAGCGTTGGAGGCGTCGATGATGAGCGACGACTGGTTGCGGACTGCATGGAGGAGGTCCATTTTCTTGCAGGCCAGGTGGGTGCGTCATCAGGTGCGGTACGCGCCATTTTGGGAGCACGTGGAGGACATCGTGGAGCTCATGACGCCTGTGATGCAGCTGTTATGCCGTCTGGACAGAGGGGGGCGCGTGATGACTCGCATGTGGTCGTGGGCACTTGCCATGATCGACAAGGTGGCGAGGGCGAGACTGAACAGGACGTCGAGGGAGGAGCTCAACATCGTTGTTCAGGCTTGTCAGGCGCGGGCCGATCATATGTTGGAGCCCGCACATTGCATCGCCCACCTCCTCAACCCTCGCCACAGGAGCATTACGTATTTTGGAGCGACGAGGCGCAGCGAGCACGACAAGACACTCGCGGAGGAGTCACTTCGATACCTTCGGCAGCAGACTGGCGGAGATGAGGACTTGTATCTGACGCTGCGCACGCAGTTGGCTGAGTTTCTTAGTCGGGAGGGCGATTGGACGTACGGAGGGGTTGAGGATGACAGGGATGCGGCCTCCTGCAGAGGGGAGAAGGAGACGTCGCAGGTGGGGCAGTGGTGGGTTCAGCATGGGGACGGGATCCCTCTCCTTCAGACTTACGCCATTCGCTTGACACACACATGGACGTGCGCCTCTCCAGCGGAGAGGAACTGGGCCGTCCATGAGCGTGTTCAGGTGAAGAAGCGTAACCAGCTTGGTTTTATCAAGCTGGCTCGTTTGGTGGAGATATCCACCAACTTGAGATTGAGTCGTTGTCAGGGGAGGGGTTCAAGGTACGTTCTGCCATGGGAGGACGCTGAGGAGGAGACAGAGGACAGCATTCCTCCGCCTCGTGACGAGGGTGTTCGGCCAGCTGACCGAGTCACGGAGGCGCAGCGTGAGCGGCAGGTGCAGCACGGGCGGAAGGATCGCCTTTCCAAGGCTCCGCCCAGCGTCGAGACATATTTCGGTCGTTGTTCCACGGTGCTCATGCCGACTCAGTTGGACGCCGTGTACGATCCCAAGTCGGATCCTATGGATCAGGACCCGATGGAGGCGGAGCCGTGGTTCGATCCGGACGACCTGGCAGTGGAGTCTGAGCCCGGAGATTTTGATGATGGTGGCGACGATGATCCTCTCGCCGAGATGTTGCGTCCTCAGACGCGTGCTTCCACTGCATCCGCTGCGCAGCATCCTCCTCCCCCTCCACCCCCGCCCCCGACTGCGCGTCCTTCCACTGCTTCCGCTGCGCAGCATCCTCCTCCCCCTCCACCTCCGCCCCCGAGTGCGCGTGCTTCCACTGCAGCCGTTGCGCAGCATCCCCCTCCACCTCCACCTTCGCCTTCGAGTGGTCGTGCTCCCACTGGAGCAGCTGCGCAGCAACCCCCTCTACCTACAGATCGTCCAGGACATGGCGAGCAGGGGACTCGCGACATTGTTGACGAGCGAGACGACGACGACGACGATGATAGAGAGGGGTACGAGGGCAGCAGTGAGGGCGAGGATGATGTCGCGTATTCCCCGAGACGTGGACGTGGTGACGACGACGACAGTGGCGACGAGGGCGGCGATGGTACACAGGCTGCAGGTGGTTTGCGGAGGTCGGGTCGACATCGTGCCGACCGATGCAGTGGTGCAGGTAGGGGGGACAGTGGTGCAGGCAGGGGTGTGGGGGGCGCAGGACACACAGAGGGTGCAGGCCGTGGTGGCGGAGGACGGGCGAGGCGAGAGTCTGCATCCTCCACTCGTACTGTGCATCGGGTTGATGAGGGTGCCGCGACAGGAGAGGTTGGCGCCGGGTCGACTAAGTTTGCTGCTGCGTCGGCAGAGGCCGCTGCAGAGGCCACTGGAGAGTTCACAGCGGCGTCTGAGGAGGTCGCAGGGGGCTTTGCAGAGGTTGTTGGCGAGGCTGCGCAGGTTGGGAGGGCTTCTGCACAGTTGGGTGTCAGTTTCAGTGGTATTCTTGATGTTTCGTTGGGGCTTCCTCCGACACCGGCAGGCGAGCATGGCAGTGGTGACGCAGCGGCTACGCCTGTCAGTCAGATACTCCGGGATGTACCTTCATGCAGCATGGGTGACATCAGTAGCAGCATGTTGCAGGAGGCAGCAGCGGGGACACAGTGTTCGTCGGGGCAGGAGGAGTGTACAGCAGGGGACGGTGGGGACTGTGGACCTGAGCAGGAGCGAGCGCCAGAGTCGGAGCAGGACAGGATCGACCGCGAGGAGAGGGAGAGGGCGCAGGACATGGCTAGCCGTTGCGAGATGACACAGAGTATTGCGTCGAGGGCACGGGCAGAGCGGATGCTAGAGACGGGCGGTAGTGAGGGTCATCGTGCGATGGACGATGCAATGCTTGAGTGTGAAGGCGCGGGCGCCGGGGATGCCGGCGAGAGACCCGCGTTGACGGTTCAAGGTGTTTGTATGTTGCCTATCGGTGGAGCCATGACGGCGGAGGAGTTGGAGCGGCAGGTACGCGAGGACCCATTGCAGGCAGATCGACGCGGACGGATGGACGAGGCGTCGAGGAGGTTAATGGAAGAGGCCCCAGCTTACGTGCCCTGCAGCCCGTCACTGCCATCGTCCACCACTGGTGCCACTACCTCCGTACATGCTGAGGGTCCAGTCACGGGACGGATTACCACACTGGCACCTGCAGAGTCTCCTTCTCCCAAATCACGGAAGAAGAAGATGAGAGAAGGTAAGAGCAGTACTGTGAGGAGGGTAACGCATGCGACGCGGGAGACTCAGCCCGGGCTGGCCGATTTACATTCGTGGACTCGAGAGGCATTGGCCCTGGACGTTGTCGCGGAGACAGTAGGTTGGCGGGAGAGGGGTTCCAGCCGGGCGACGGAGCAGCCCATCACAGCACCTGCTGAGACGGAGATGCCATGTATTGGGGGGCGCACAGCTGGTAGGGGGGAGGAGGCGGAGCACAGCGGCCCCCCCGGGAGGAGCATGGCCGGACGTATATTGGGGGAGGATGTGAGGACGGTGCCTGCGCAGCGACCGTCACAGGCAGGAGTCGTTTTGGAGTCCAGTACCGATGATTTGGAGATGCCTCGTGGCCAGCGGAGGAGGGCTTCCGTGTACGACCTTCTTCGAGCACAGCACGGGGTTGATGCGGCGCCACAGGGGGGGGGTCATGCTCCGGATACTGCGCACGGGCCGGTAGGCGGCAAGGGTGGCGGCGACGGTGTCAAAGGTGCGGTGCAGCAGAGGAGGAGGAAGGACATTGTGGACGACGATGATGTTTAGTCCCACCATTAGTCCTCTTTCATCCTGTATTTCTTAGTAGTGTATATTATACTTAGTGCTTCGGATGACGTGATGTGTTCATAGGTGTAGTGTTTATTAGATTTGTATTTGTACAGATGGTTAGACAACTGCACAGTTGTCCATACACAGGTGGAGTATGTGCAGATTGTTGTTTCTTTTTCGTTTATTTTTGCATCGATGTTTCAGAGGATTGCCCTCTATATTTAGACATGGGCGCAGCATCTGCAGCGCTTGCATTGTTTTTGTTTTCCTTCTACTTTGTTATCGATGTTTCAGAAGATTGCACATTGTATTCGCACATTATTTGATTGAGTTCAATCTTCATGTTTCATTTATTGTTGTGTATGTATGGTGCAGTTGTTTCGTGTCATGGGACGGATTGCCCTATAATGTTGTACTTTATAAATTTCAGCAACGATTGTCACTCGCACATGATCTTCAATGACGGACTACCCACGACACCCGATAATGTTGTACTTTATAAATTTCAGCAAGTGTTTTTTTTTTTTTTTTTTTTTTTTTTTTTTTTTTTTTTTGCAGATGGACTACCCACGACACCCGATACCCACCCACTCGAAAACCGCGGTCGACCCCCCCCTAGAAGACGCCGAACGTACGTACGAAAGTCCGTACGTACGGCCCATACGGGCCCCCGGGGTCCCGTACGTACGGCCCATATACGTACAGGCGTATACACAGCGTGTACGCGCGTACATGAATACGTGTATGCGTGTGCGCACAACCCGCGTACATGTACGCCGTGCAACCCAGGTTTAAACAATATATGTCAGATGACGGGAGAACCCTATCCATCTGATCAACAGTATCTCCAAAACAAACTGGGGCATCAAGAACAATCTAATCAATCAGACGAAACCCTAACCTTGATGTGATGTGTATGACGTATTGAGCTGGAAATCAAAACCAGCTTCCCTATACGATGATGAGTTGAGAAGTCAAAGAAAACCTATCTATCAGACGAAGGGACGAATCCCAAACGTTAATGTGATATGTGTACGCTAGGAATCATAACCAGCTTCGTTATGCAATGATAAGATGACAAAGAAGCAATAGTACACTCCGTCCTATATATATATATATATATATATATATATATATATATATATATCGTCAAATAGAACTGCCCGGTAAACCGTAGGCAGAGAGGGAGAATACATATATATATATATATGCATTGCATACCTAACCTGTATCTTTTAAAAAGAACAGAGGCATTGATTACTCCCCTACAGAAGGGAAGGATTGACCTCCTGTTCATGAAGTAATATTCCTAATCGAGATTTGTTAATTTTTGACTTCCTGCATGCCGACAAAATTATCGTCATCCACCCCCAGCAAGCAATCTTCAAACCCACCAATAACAGATCGGGTTTGCGAAGCCCGAGAGCAACTCCAATGAGCAATCCATCCAAACTCAACAAGGGGGAGAACATCCAACCAACTCCCACCCTGTGCCAACCAAAAAAAAACAGATGAACATGAAGTACACCAGGTCAGGAGGGGGGGGAAGGGAGAGGTGCGCTCTCACCCCCAAACCCCGCGTCAGCCATCCTCTCAGGTCAGTTCCTCACCACCGCTCCGCTACCATCATGGCAGCCCTTATCGTTGCCCACGTTGTTGTTATTGGCTTAATTATCATTGTTATTGTTGTTGTTGTTGTTCTTGTTGGTGGTGATGGTGTTCAACTTCTTGTTGATGTCCTTGTTAATGTTGTTGTTGTTGTTGTTGCAGTTGTTGTTGTTGCTGTTGCTGTTGTTGGTGTTGATGTCGTTTGTACTGTGATCATCACCACTGCTGCAGACGCATCCGTCATCCCTACCTCCCCCACCCACTCGCCCACCTCCACAAGGGCATACTCCCTTTCATCAGTCTGGTGCAAAGGCTGAGGGTCGACGTCAGCACCGGCCCCACCGGGAGTTATTGTCTTTGTTGTTGTTGACGTTGTTGTTGTAGTAGTCGTTGTTGTTGTGGGTGTCGATACTGCAATCGCTATCGCGTGGTCTGTCAACGTCGCCACTGCTGCCGCCTTTTCCATCAGTCCCGACTCCACGTCCCACCCACCAGCATCACCAAGGGCATGTTCCCAATCGCCGCCCTGATAATCACTTTCAGATTCGTACTCCTCACATACTGGACTGATAGTTGCATAGTAGTCGGCGACATCATCTTCATCCTGCTCACCAATTTTGCACTCCTCGCATACTGCAGCGTTAGTTGCATAATATCCGACGATGTCTTCATCCTGCTCACCATCGTCGATTACCCCATCCACGTAGACTGCACAGATATTTGCAAAGTAATCGACCACATCCTCCTCATCTTGCCCACCATCCTCTTCATGCCAAACATCGTCATCAGTGTCAACAGGTGTTTCTCCATCCACGTAGACCGCGCAAAGATTTGCAAAGTAATTGGCGACGTCCTCCTCATCGTGCCCTCCATTGTCTACGTGCCAAACTTCGTCATCAGTGTCAAAAGGCGTTTCTCCATGTTAGCGATGGAGCAGATCGAGATATAGGAATTGAAGGAATGGTTGAAGGGGTTCCCCTGTGCATAGGGGCCCATACACGTCGGGGGCCCTCATATGGGCATCCCCCCTGCATGCACGGGCCCCCCTCTAGATATGCATGCAGGCCCCCCCCCATATGCGGGGGTCCTTCCAGGCCCCCCCCTGGGGCCCCCATGTAAGCTGTCCTATATGCATATAGTGGACCCCCTATATACATGGGGGGGCCTAATGCGCCCCTCCCTATGCATGCAGGGCCCCCTGCACGCGGGGCTCTTTTCCTGCTTCGTTGTCTTCGCAGTTCCATTGGAAATACGTCTTCTTATAACCACAACAGTGGCTATCCTCAAAATTTCTATAAAAAACTTCTTCTTTTTTTTTTCCCAACAATTTTTTCCGTTTTGCCAAAAATAGGTTTTCCTCAAATTTGTGGTGACATATGAGCGTCCAGTCACATTGCGTCGACAGAAAATAGTTTTCTATGGAAATATTGTGGATTTTGCAAACTGGACTTTTTTCTTGGCCCACTTTTTTTTTTTTCTTGGTTCACTTTTCACGAATAGCTTGTTAAGAAGGAAATTTCCCAAAACCTACCTTCTTCCCCGGAATACAAAGTACGGTAATTATAGCTGTATTTGAGGCATCTTTCAGTCTAGATACAGCTATAATGATCGTGCATTGTATTCCGGGGAAGAAGATAGGCTACCAAAGTGGCCAGGGGTCACTTGCCCGGCCGGGCCAAAAATAATTAAAAATTAAAAAATAAAACAATTATTTGCAGGGTTACCTGACCGAACGTTCGGGGGCCCCGGGCTGGCCCCCGAACGTTCGAGCGTTCGGGGGCCGAACACCTCCAGGTTCGGCCTCCGCCAAAATTTGTTTCGGGGCCTAACAATAAGTTTTTTTTTCTGAATTGTTTTTTGTGAGTTCTCTATGATGTAACCTACACACCTATACATTTTGAAGTCATTCTGCTAAGCCAAAAAAACATTAAAAATGGTAAAAGATGGGGGTGCCAAAACGTGCTCGCCCACTCACTATTTTGTTTTTTTTCACTTTTCACTTTTTGTTTTCACTTTACTTCGGGGCCTAAAAAACTTTATTATTTTTTGAAATTTTTTTAATGAGTTATTGATTATGTAAACTACATATCTGTAAATTTTCAGGGCATTTGTCAATGCCAAAAAATAATTAAAAATCGGCAAAGATGGCGGTGTCGAAAAGGTGCTGGCACACTCACTCATTTTAATTCTCTTTTTATTTTTTCTTATTTTTATCATAGTGTTTATTTTCTGTATGTGATTTTTAATTCAAATTTGGTAAAGAATTTGGATACAGTGCTGAGGCAAATGTTGTTTAGTTTATTTTCCTCCATAACATTGTTTTTTTCGGAAGTTTTTAAAAACGTTTTTTTTTTTTTTTTGGTCCGCGTTCGGCCCGAACGGCCGAATGCCTTCCGAAGGGGTCCCGTACGTTCGGGCATTCGCGAACGAAGGCAACCCTGATTATGATTATTTGTAAATTTTAATGTTTATTCTAAATTTGGTGAAGAATTTCGATGTGACCCTGAGACAGAAGTTGTTCAGTTTATTTTTCTGCATAACATAGTTTTTTTTCGGATGTTCTGGATTTTTTTTTTTTTTTTTTTTTTTTTTTTTTTTT